TGTGCAGGGCAGAGCTTTGGCATGAACTGGCAGTGGTGTTGAGCAAAGCATGACTTTCTGGGTTTCTGTTTCCTCTTCAGTAGGCACTGTCTTTATTGGCCCTGCCCATTTTAATTTCTAGTGATTGTCAAAGAATTTTAAAACCTTCTTGGAAACATCCATAGCTTAATGTCAAAATAAAAGGCCATATTTAAGTCAGCATTAAGTTCTGCAGTTCAGCGGTCATCAGATATCAGGGAGGGAGGGAATTGGTTCCTCCTTGGCCCCACCTCTTGATCCTTTACCACCCTGTGAGAGGTATGATGCCCCTTTCCCAGTGAGGTGCCAGGTGCCACTAGAGCCAGGGGATGGCTGGGAAACCACTTTCTCAAATAACTTTGGCTTCACACAAACAAATAAGCACATGGAGGCTCGTGTTATCATGAAGGTTAGCTGCAGAAGTGGGCAGGTGCCAGAGGATGCAAATCATCTTACACGTTTACAGCCCAGTGTCACTGGCAACAGACCTTAGAAACGAGCCATAACCTTCATTTTGCAGGAAAGGAAACAGATGCGAGAAGGTAAAAAGATTTACTTAACTTCGATGGCAAAACTGAAATGAGAACGCAGGATTTTCACTCTTCACTCTTATTTGCAAAAATATTCTGCTTCTAAAACAAAAGAATACTTGCTTGTTTTTTGCCCTCCTGACCCCTTTGCTTAGTTCCTCTCACCCCCAGCTACTTTTATTTCTATGGCACGAAGCCTCTGCCTGTCTTAATGTATGCAGCACCCACGTCCACAAGCTGACGTGCAGATGGGAGGTTGGGCTGTGTGGACCAGACAAATGGATTAGACAGCTGATTTCTGGTTAAACCTGCCCTCTGCCCTCTTTCTAAATGTGTCTCATCCCAGGTCCTCCCCGCCCTTTATAAATATGTTGGTAGGGCAACCTCCTAGTTCTATGCCTTCACCCCCCCTTTTCATCTGAAAGGTAGCAAATCCTAGGTCACCATTACAGGCAGTGGCCTAGGTGAACATTGGGAAAGTCATCTCACTTCCCAGGCCTCACTTTCCTCATTGGTAAAATGAAAGAAGGAAAGGAGTCCACAGTTAAAGCTGGAATAAAGGTCCCTAGATCCTTCTTTAACTTCAATTTAATAAAAAATTTAGAGATGAAGTCTTGTCCGGCATTGAATTCCTGGATTCAAGTGATCTTCCCCTTTAGCCTCCCAGTAGCTGGGAATACAGGTGTGCCCCGCCATGCCTGATGAAGCTTTCTTTGCTCGAAAATCTGAACTCCACAAAGATGTTGATCTGCCCTGTAGGAACCAGGGAGCTTTTGTCATTTACCCACGATAGGTCAGCAATAGGTATTTTGCCTCCTGTTGAAAGAAGTTCTCATCATCAGTATTCACTGCATATTTTACAGGGATCAGTGCAAAATGAAATGTAGGGTCCCATGGCAGCGCCTTAAGCCAAGCACAGGTCCTGGGTGACCTCACTAGCCGTGTGCCTAGAGAGCTGCTCTGCTCAGAGCTACACCAGGGATTTGACAGACTCCAGCTGGTGCGGGAGGGAGTTAGGGCCGGGCTCATGAGAAGGGTATTCCTACTTCAGTGGCCAGGGTTCATGCTAAGATGACAATAGGCCCAGAGCCCATCTCACATCCACCCCTCTGTCGCCAGTACCTGTTTTGGAAGAAGGGCTGACTTCATTAGTGCTGGTTCTTCCGTTTCTTGAGGAAAGATTGCACTGTTCAATAGGGAGCTTCATGTTTCCAGAACAGATTACTGACTGTTTTGGAGTCTGCAACTGACCCCAGTGCTCCCTGCCTTTGGGGACAGAGTGGCCAAGCCACTTTCTTTTCATCCAGCCTTCCCTCTCCACTTCATAATGAACCTCTTTCATGCCTCAGATCGCTGACTCCATTCCCTGCTCATTACCATTGGGTTGGATCCTGGGCCAAGATAAAGGAAAAGAACTCCCCTCCAATTTCCACCAGAGTCCCCCAATGTCTTAAGAAGCACATGTAGACAGAGAGGTTGCGTGGTCCTCACTTGAGTCAACTAAGAGTGGGAGATTCTCTTCTGAATTCAATTTTCAAAAGCAGATTTTCCTTTTTTTGTAGTATGAAAATGCTCTAGGCATTGCACAATTTCAGGTTTTGGATCTAATTCCCAGTCCCTTTATAACTTTGGCAGCTGGGCTTCGCCTTCATCAGCCTTTCCTTTCCCTGCTCATGGGCCTCTCACAACCCCACTCACTTTTCATATCACACAAATGAGTTCATTCTCAGCACCACACCCACTGTGTGGCTTTTCTCTTTCCCAGCTCTCATCATGATGATCCAGCTTCTTCAGTTTCATCAACACCTTGAAAATTCATCTTTGAATTATTTCTTGCTTTGTCATTCAAAGCATTCTGCTCCCCGACTCCCCATCACCTCCTCTCTCCATCCCAACAGTTGGGTTTGCTTGTGTTTCATCTTTCCATCCACGCATCCATCTATCTCTCCATCAGCCCATGTGTCTATTTTGTGTCAGTCATTGGGGACAGAGAGATGACATGGTGAGTTACTGTCCTCGGGATATGTCAGTGAAGGGGTGAGGAACAGGACATATAAATGAAAAATTAACGGCAGGGCAACTAGATATGCACAAAACATGGAGGGTGTAAAAAGAGGTGCTTTGGATGGTGAATATGGAGCTGGGAAGGATGCACTGGCAGGAGAGCTGGGGACCCTCTAAGCAGAAGGAATGCCGTGCACTGGCCTAGGTTGATGTAAAAGCATGCTGCATGCAGGAAGCGCTGAGTTTGGAGAATTGTTGAGGCACAAAGTAGGAGAATCTGGGGCTAGGGCAGGGATTGATGAGAATTAGTCTGGAGTGTTAGGCAGCGCCCAGGTCTTCAGAGGCCCTCCATGTTATGCTGAGGCCCTCAGGCTCACCCTGACTGTCCTGACAGTCCTGGGGCTCTCCCTAGTGGTTGCTTTTAAGAAAGGGCATGACATAGTGAGACTAGTTTGGACAGCACTCTGGCAACACTGCTGAGGATAGGTTTCATGGGTGACTCTTCAAGACAGGGAGGCCTGTGGTGGGTACAAGTAGGAATGATGTTACCAGGGAGGAAGAGGATACGTGCAAGAGGCGTTGTGGAGGTAAAGTTGGTAGTGCTGAATGATAGGTGGGAGGAGTTGGGGGCTGCCATCCAGGTTTCTGGCTTGAGAAAGTGTGTGCATGAGAATTCTGTGCTCACACCCAGTCCTGTCTAAACTAGCGGCCATTCTGCCTCGGGCCTGCCTCAGTTGCCCCTGTATTCTGTTTTGTTACCAACACATAAACCAGGCCTTCATTTCTTACCTAGATTCTTGAAGTATCCTCTTCATCTCTTTCAGTCCATCCTACAACATGCTGCCAAGGTAATCTTCCAGGGACAGTTGAACAATTCCCATTGCATAGTGAATGATGTCCCAGCTTTTAGCATCACCATCAATATTCATTGCTAAAGGAGACATTCTCTTCCCGTAGAGTCCAGTTTTTGAGAGAACATGAGGCATGTTGTATGTGTGAAGTAATTGAATGTCAAGTTGTCTTTTTTTTTTTTTTTTTTTGAGACAGTCTCACTCTGTCACCCAGGCTGGAGTACACTAGCGCAATCTCGGCTCACTGCAACCTCTGCCTCCCGGGTTCAAGCAGTTCTCCTGCCTCTGCCTCCTAAGTAACTGGGATTACAGGCACCAACACCTTGCCTGGCTATTTTTTTTCCATTTTTAGTAGAGAGGGGTTTTTGCCATGTTGGCCAGGCTGGTCTTGAACTCCTGACCTCAGGTGATTCACCTGCCTCAGCCTCCCAAATTGCTGGGATTACAGGCGTGAGCCACTGTGTCTGGCCCAAGTCGTCCTTATTGGGGACACAGAACTCCTACTCTGAGGTCAGTGAGGGAAGCAGGCAGGGCATCTCCAGGGGTGGCCCCAGGTGATCCTGTGTGTGCCCAGCATGTCTTTCCAAGTGTCTCTTCCATTTCTCCCTTGGCGTAGTGCTGTCTGGTCTGGTCTCATTGTTCCGTAAAAGTGACCCCTTTCCCATCCTGGGTCTTTGCAGACTCCATTGTCTCTACCTGGAATACTTTTCCTCGAATTCCTGTCTGTTGAAATCCTACCCATCTTCTGATATTTAGCCCAAATGCAAGGACCCCATGAATCCCCTATGGGAATGGATCTCCCGAAAGCATTTTCCTTTCTTCTGGCACTTTTCACATTTACTGTGCACAACACCTAACGTGTCTCCTATTTTATCTCCCACACTGGACCGCTAGACTGGAAGCAGAAGTGGAAAATCAGAGGCCTTAAATCCTGGGGCCAGCCTGTGAATGTGATTTCTTAGTTTGCTTATTTTTCCCCCACCAAATTTAATTTATTAAAAAATTATAACCTATGTTAACCATACAGGAAAGCAGAGAATATGATCTAATAATGTATATTTGGGACTTATCGCCAAGAATGAACAGATTTGCTGCTGACACCTCGCCACCACGTTTTAAGATATAAATTATTGCAGATACACTTTGAACACTAGCCCACACATCCCTCTCCCGAAGCAGATCTTCACACTGCTTTTTCAAATTTAGAGTTAGTCACTAATATTTAGAAATCACAGGATTTCACATCATAAGATTTGGCCTCCGGCCACTTTCCTGCCAGTTCTCACCAGTCCATCACAGGCTCTGGGGCCCACCCCGGCCCTTTGAACCTGCCTATCCAATCTGTGGCTTAGTCTGGCACCCGAGCTCTCTCATCTGCCCTCTGTACATGCTTTCCAGGAGGCGAGGGGACTCTTCATGCCCCCTGTCCTCCTCCGCACCACTGCTTGGGCTATGCTCACTGTCTGGACCGAGGAATTCAAGGCCTCATTCAAGACCCACTGGCTCCTGTGGCTTTTCCTAGTGAATTGGGCTCAGCTCCATTCTCAGTACTCATATACACCTAGCCCTTAAGCCGGTGGCTGAGCACTGGCCCGTTCTTTCATTCAATCCTGTATTAGGTACCCTGCAAAGTCACCTTGGTGGAGAAAAAGGACTCAAAAATCCCGGCCAGGTCGGGCTTACTTGTTCTTCCCTCCTAGCCTTTGCTGCCTCCGTGTGGTGCACCACGTGAAGTGCAGTGGGGCTTGGTGCAGGAGCTCTGCCTGCTTGGTGCCCTCAGGTGTAAGAAGGGATGGCGTATTTTGTTGGCCACAACACTCCGAGGTCTTTGTGCTTGTTCAGTTGAGACTGTTGACTCATCTGGCCCCCTCGTCTCTTTCTTAGAACTCCCCTCGCTGCCCGTTGGAGCTCTGTCCTTTTCCTTCCTTTCCCTGTGAAAATAACCCTGGTGGTTTCATAAGTGTAGGGTTTCACTAGGCTGAAAAACCAGGGGAAAGGCTCTTGTCCCTGATTCCACCACCCTCCGTTGATTCCCATGGTACCTGACATTAACATATGGATCGTGAGCACACCTTACAAGAACTGGAGAGATGCTGGCTCTTGCATTTTGTGCACAGCTGGGGAAGGAGGGATGTTGCATTTTTCACCTTACCCAACTGCCTGGGGCCACTCCCCCCTGATGGTAGTGCTGATTATCTGTTCCTTGGGGTTTTGAAAGTGGTGGAAACCTGTTGATCTGGGCCAGAATATGGTTCCCTTTTCTCTTCAGAATGAACACTGAAACTAACTCCATTGTGGTAATCAAATTCAACTGATTAATGATCTGTTAATTTCCTGTGTAGGAAAGAAGCCATTTTGATGTTGGGTGTGACTCTCATCATTGCTGTGATACACCCAGGTCCAGAGGGAGACAGCTTTTGTCCCCACACTCTGGACCCACAGCAACCTCCACACCTGCTTCAGTTCAGCTCTGTCCCTGATGCCCCTGACAGTGTTTCTTTTGACTGTGTTTTCACTGATTGGTTAATGACTATGTCATCACTGAAGTCACCAAACTTGTCTTTATTGGCCTCCTCTCTTCAGGGGAATTGAGAAGAATGAGAGAACCAGTGATTAAGGAGGAGATGGAGGGAAGAAAGAGGCTAAGGATATGGAAGAATAAAGGGAGAAAGGATATGATTTAAAGAAGAGAAGGAGAAAGAAGAGAGAGAGGCATTAAATCTCGGCATGTGGGATAGTAGACTTCTAATTTTGGGCTGAGTAGAAGGTATATTTTGGGGGAAGTTCACACTTGTTTTCTTTACTTGCCCAGGAACCCATGGTGTGGCTCATTGTGATTTGAAAGGGTGAAATGCAGGGTTATGTATGATCAGAATGGCCAACACACATATAGCCAGGAGTGTTCTAGAGACCTTCTACGAAATTGGCACCGAAGCTGATAGAGGCTGGATGCATTTTTTGTTTCTCTCAGCCCTGCTCAGGTCCATTAGGAAAGGCATGCAAACTCTTTCAGACACCCCTCAGGGATTCTCCTGGGTTCTAGAGATTCCCCTGCATGTGGACTGGGCAAGAAAGAGGTAACCCAAAAAAAGCTGGGACTCTCCCAAGTATCACCACCCCATGCTCCAGTGCTCTGCTGTACCACCGACAAGATGAGTCCAGGCTGTCTGATTCCGTGGAAAGATAAGGACTTTCAAGGCCAAGTACCTGGTAGAATGCCTAGCCATTAATCAGTTAGTGTGACTGTGAACAAGTTTCCTCACCAGTAAAATGGGAATAGTCACCCCCACCTGATAGGTTTCTGATGAGTATTCGGTGAGGGAATATATGTCATATGTAGGTCATGTTGTACATGCCTGAAACATAGTAGAACTCATTCAGTCTTCACCGCCCTTCCTGACCCTCCCGCGACTCTGCCCACCCCCCATCCCCAGCTTCATGCTACTCTCCTAGGTAAAATATGGTGATACCTGGAAATGAAAAGGAACGAGGAAAGTATATATTAACAGAAACCATGCCTCTCTCCAGGTTAGGCATTAAAACATTTGTTGCTCTTTACATTGAACCGTGTGAAGAAATAGGAGATTTAAAAGAAAAGAAATGAAATCCTTTCTCATTTAAGAGGAAAATTGGAGCTCTAGTAGTTAAAAGCGACCCTCAAGTTAAAAGAGACCACAAGCCAGACGCAGTGGCTCACACAGTGGATGACACCTGTAATCCCAGTACTTTGGGAGGCCGAAGCGGGCAGATCATGAGCTCAGGAGATTGAGACCATCCTGGCTAACACGGTGAAACCCCGTCTCTACTAAAAATACAAAAAATCAGCCGGGTGTTGTGGTAGTGGGCACCTGTAGTCCCAGCTACTCGGGACGCTGAGGCTGGAGAATGGCGTGAACCCAGGAGGCGGAGCTTGCAGTAAGCTGAGATCGCACCACTGCACTCCAGCCTGGGAGACAGAGCAAGACTCCGTCTCAAAAAAAAAATAAAATAAAAAATTAAAAAAAAGGACCACAATTTTTCAGAATCAGTCACTGAGGTTTGGAAAAAGCAAATCACATTATCTGTCCTCTGGTATATGATTAGGACAGAAAGTTTCTGGTTGCGCCAGGGACTGGGCAGGTCTTGATGACATGAGGAAGACAATAAGTTGGGCATTGTGTGAAAGGGAGGAGGCAGGACCTGGGCTTGTGTCCTTGTCACCTTCTGTATGAAGCCAGGAAGGTGGAGCTTGATGACATCTCCTAACAACACCCACATGCACATCTCTGTCATCCTTAAATCACTGAGTCTTGGACTTCAGGATCTCCTTGTGCCGGTCCACAAGGGAACCCACCCACTCCACGGTTTTCTGCTTGGCTTCCTCCCAGCTGTAGAGCGGGTCATACGCCAGATCTCGCTGAGCCTTCTTGTAAACGAAGGTGAACACGCTATTTGACAATGTCACTATGTGACGGCTGAAGGGCGGTCCATAGATGTAAATGGGTCTGAGCAGGAAGCTCACTATTTCCAGCATGAAACCAATCCAGTACATCAGGGATAAAGGAAGGCTCCATCTGGAATCAAGGCGCAGGCCGAACTCTTTGCTCAGGGTGTAATTAAGGTTATCATAGCTTTGGTGAGGCGTGTCATCTGAGATGTAGTAGAACTGTCCTTGGATATTTGGGGCCTTCTTGGGGTCCTGCAGGACCCTCATGGCCAGAATGTGAGCCCAGGCCACGTTGCCAACATAGACTGGGTTGACTCTGGAGAACTTGCTGAAACTTGACAGGATCCTATTGTTGTTCAGGGCCTCATTTATACCAGCAGAAAGGATTGGGCTTTCTTCCCCATAGATAACCATTGGTCTTAAGGCACAAGTGTACAAGGTGCCACCATTTTTCAGAGTCCACCCATTGGCCACCAGCACAGCCTTCTCAGCAAACTTTTTGCTGTATGGGTATGGAGCAGACCATGTGTTTTCCAGAGGCTCTTCATGGCCGTTCTGGATGATTTCCTTGTAGGAGTTGGGCCTGGCTACCTCTAGGGTACTAGTGTAGATGAAGATTGGCACAGTAGCTTGGACACAGGCCTCCAACAGAAGCTGGGTACCTACCAACAAAAAGCATGCTGTCAGAGTCAGGAAATATAACTAAGGGGCCCCAACCACATGCATAGATATTCGTTCTCAAGTGCAGTGGTTATAACAGACTCGGGGTCCATTCTTCTGTGTCTCTGACTGAGACTGGGCCATGCTACAGCCATAGGAAAAACACTAAAATGAAAAGAAACTGACATATGGGTTCTGGAGAGCAAGAATTTCTAGACTTTTGAGTGTATGAATGTGTGTGTGTGTGTACTTTAATTTTGGGAAAGGACCTAGGGTTATCACTTTATATTTTGCAAAGTAAGGATGTTGAAAATTATAATGTGACATCAATACCATTAAAGGCAGGTTATTGAAAAACTAAAAAATCAGGAAGATATACTCTGAGAATATGGGCAGTCCCAGTCCTTAGGCAGAAAAGGGCAGTGGAAGAATTTATGTCACACACATACCCATACACAGTTGTATATAAGCAATATACACTCTTAAATATACTCTTAAATATACATGCAATTGCTGGTATTTTTCTCATTTTGAGTGGACTGATAAAACTTAGTCACAAGGACCATTCCTGGAGTCATTGAGCAAACAGTGGCTTGTGGGGAGATGCTGGAAACTCACACTCTTTTCCTGATTGTGTGTTCCCTGGGAAAGCTGCTTCCAATTCTGGCTGTGACTCTGTTTACCTGGTTATGTAAAGTGGGGGTGTAAACCTTCCCTTAAACCCTGCCCTGGCATTTCCTGTGGAGCCTGGTGGAGGACTGGGGAGAGGAGTGTGCCCTCTGCTGGTAACACCTGCACTGGGAGGACCTGGCAGCATCCCCTGAGCTGTGTGGAAGTGAAGCTCATGGAGGTGCTCGGAGTGCCTTCCCTTGAAGAAGGAAGGAATTTCCTAGGTAAGGATTATTATTTTTTCTTATTTTATTATTATTTTTTTAGTTCTTGGCCCCGTTTAAAGTTTCTGTGGAATTTGAGTTTCTGGAGAGACAGCCTCATGTTTTCAACAATTAATCTGGTGGTAGAGAAAATGTGGAAGTAGTTTACCTTCAAGAGGGAAATGACCAACATTGTGAAATGTTTTCTAAGCCTTGGAGTGATAATGGTTTAGGAAACAGATGCCTCTAACACTTACCCTGTCATTTCGCATTTCTTGTTGTTGGGAGTTGTGGAGAGTTAAGAATTCAAATGAAAAACTGGTTACTCTTAACACCCTCCTTGCACTGTAGAGGTACTTAAAGGTATGCGTAAGTAGAAACTGGAAAGATTTTTTATTGAGATGGTGCTGGATACCCAAAAGCAATTAGCTGCTTTAGAAAAGGTGTCAGAATAGACTGAATGTGGAGGGCCAGGCCCGCGGTTGGGTGCTGTGGTGCTGAAGATACTGGACTCTGGGAATCAGATGGTGAGACTGCATGACAAGATTCCTTAAGGAAATGTGTCTGAATTTAAAGTGGTTTGGAAAGCTGCAATTCAGAAAGACCATCAAGACTTTAAGGGATGAGGATTGAATGAAGGTGCACTTTGGACACCTGGCTGGGAATGGCTCTGTAAGAGCAGGCCCTGTGGTGAGCTGAAGAGATTGTGTATTCTGGACACCTGGAAACCCTTTTTGTTAAGAAAATATTGTGAGAAAGCATGTGCTGGATAATTCTGTCCTGACAGACCACTGTGAACCAGCTTTGCTAGTTCTCTTGAGAAAACTTCTTTGAGGTGGGCAGCAGGGCTCTGAATGTTCTTGATATGGGAGTGCTGGGAAGGGAAGAGCGTGGTCCCTTTAAATGGTATGGGAGTGGGGAAAGGAAGTGCTGGGTGAAGGAGGGTGTAGTCCCTGGCTAGGGCTCCACTCCCAGGGACGTAGATGAGGACAAGCATTTTCTGCCCAAATGTTGCATTTCCCATGACCACCCAGGCCTGTCATGCCCCCATTCTGTGCCTATAAAAAACCCCAAGACCATAGCAGGACACACACAAGTTGCCAGACAATGACAGGAGCAGATTGGCAAAAGAAGACAGAAGGGACTGGATGTCAGAAGGGGCACATCAACAGACGAACACATCAGCAGAGGAACACATGGGCAGCTGGACGTTAGGAGGAACACACCGCCCAGCAGAGTGATGTGGGGTTTCCCTGGGACAGTCGGAGAAGAGTTGGGCAGTTGAGCTGCCAACTCCATGGGAAAATCCTCCCCTTCTGGCATTCCCCAGCTGCTGAGAGCTACCTCCACTCAACAAAACCTGGCACTCATTCTGCCAGCCCAGGTGTGATCCAATTCCCCTGGTAACCAAAGCAACAACCCGAGATACAGAAAGCCCTCTGAATTTCCGACAAGGTAGAGGGTCTAATTTAGCTGGTTAAAACAAGCCGCCCATAGATGTCAAAACTAAACGAGCCAGACTAAAAGAGTACGTGTAACACACACCCACTGGGGTTTCAGGAGCTGTAAACATTCACCCCAGACACTGCCATGGTGTTGGAGTCCCACAGCCTGCCTGTCTGTATGCTCCCGTAGAGGTTTGAGCAGTGAGGCACCGAAGAAGCAAGCCACACCCCCATTGCATGCCTGCTGAGGGGGACGAGGGAATTTTGCCCATTTCATTATCATCAGCCTACACACAAGGTTTAAAATGATGACTGTGGTGGCACCTGGAAGGTTTGATTCTGTCCCAGAGGCAAAGAGTGGCTGGATATCAAGAATCTGAAGTCGGAGTTTAGTCAACTTTTGACTGGAACCATAATAGAAAAAGTGTCCACAGCCTTTGGAGTCACACGGGAGTGAGTTTAAAGTCTAACTCTCCTACTTACTTACTTACCTGGGGGGCCCTGCACAAGTTACTTGCCATCTCTAGCACTGGTTTCCTCATGTAAAAAGCTGAAGATAGCAGCTTTGAACTCCCCCAGTTGGTAATGGTTAGCAGACACTTGGCCCAGAGCACAGCAGGTGTTCCGTGGAGGGACTTCTCTTTCCTTCCTGTCCTTCTTTGTGATCCTTAATCCCCCACCTTGCTTCATCTCCTCCCCAGGCTACCGTACCCTTCTCATTGACGTTCATGACAGACTCTCTGTGAGTGACACCGATGACGTCTATGACAGAGGTGGTGTGGATGATGACCACGATGTCCTGGCAGGCTCTCTTCAGGCATGACTCATCCAGAATGTCTCCTTCCAGCGCTGTCAGCTTGGTCTTGTTCTGGAGCTCTGTGTGAACACGGGTCAGGAGATCGGAACATTTCTGAAACTGGCTTGGAAGTTTCCTGATAAAGATGATGTTACATAGGTGTTCGGGAAAGGTTAGAGTCGTGGTGTTGGAGTGGAGGGTGTACATTCCATGGAAGGAACAAGTAAACAAAGACACAGAAGTCAGAATATGTAGCAATTTATTGGGAAAGAGCAAACATCTGTTTCTACCCCATCCCATTTCAGAAAAGTAATCTGAGCAATGAGCTGTCAAGTGTACCTGGAATATAAGCATTTCTAGAGTCATGGGAAACTCACTAAAATATTGAAAGAGAGTAGGGTGATTGTGGAGAGTTGGATATAAGGGGGAAAATTCGAATTTAATTCTGCAGGTGATGCGGGATCATGATTTTGGGTCTCCAGCACCACGTCAGAGAAACCCCTTATTTATATTTGGAATAAGTAGAGAACCAGGCAGAGCATGGTGGCTCACACCTCTAATTCTAGCACTTTGGGAGGCTGAGGTGGGCTGACTGCTTGCACCCAGGAGGTCAGGACCAGCCTGGACAGCCCCATGAAACCCTGTCTCTACTAAAAATACAAAAATTAGCCAGGCGTTGTGGTGCCTGCCTATAGTCCTAACTGCTCGGGAGGCTGAGGAAGGAGGATGAACGGAGCCCAGGAGGTGAAGGTGGCAGTGAGCAGAGATCATTCCTCTGTACTCAGCCTTGGTGGCACAGTCAAAGCCTATTAAAAAAAAGTGAGAGAGACAGAGAAACAGAAGCAGAATTGTGATGTAGGAAGTCAACCTTGGCTTGAGGATATAAAATGGACTGAAATAGGGGATATGAGAAAGTAAGGTAATTAAGAGATTAATCAGAGTATCTGTGCCAAGGTTTTGATGAGGTCTGGAAGCAGGGTCCAGCAGTGGAAGCAGAGGAGGGCAGATACAACAGGTTTGAATTTCAGACCTTACCTTAAAGGTCCTGATACCTACTGGATCTGGGTTGAGAGAAAAAGAAGACAAAATCACCCCTGTGGTTTCCTGCTTGGGCAATTGGGAGGAGAGTGGAGCCATTACTAGGGAATTGCGCATGGGCTTAAATGAGGAATTTCCATGAAAAACTCTTATCAGATATCAAAAGCAGAAAACAATGCTGAAAGTTAGCGACCAAAGAACTAATATTCCAGCTGTCTAACTGAGGGCAGTGGTTACAACTTTAATGTCTTCAGGCTCCTCTGAAATCCCCAAGACATGGTGCTGACAGTAAAGTTGTCACCTGGAATTAGCCCACGCCATGAACACTGTGGTACATGGAGCTTGGATAAATACTCTACGCTTGTTTGTGCTTTACAATCTGCATATTACTCACAACTTGCTTATTTCCTTTTACAGCAATCTCATGAGATAGGTTTTCTGAGTCGCACTTTATTGATGAGGAAACTTAGGATCAGAGAGGTTAAGGGACAGATCAAAGGTCACATTTCTAGTGGAGACTCAAACTTGCCCACCCCACCTCCAAGCCTCGTACCCTGTACACTAGGTACAGGACTGGCTGTTTACAACAAACTTTTCTGAGAAAGAGTAAGATTAAGCCAGTTCAACTGAAATTGGCAACAAAGGCCAAAGAACAGTGAGAGTAAAATTCAGAGTAAAAAATTCAAGACTGGAGCAATTCCTTCCAGGGGTTCAGATGGGACCATTTACTCTCCTGATGCCTCTGTCATGTTTTGTCTACTCCCAGCCCCTTCCCACTGTCAGGCAACTCCAAGGAGGCCCTGCAATGGGGGAGGCAGGGAAGAGGCTGCTGGGGAGGACATGGGTAACAGACTGAGAATGGAATTTTCCCTGGTTGTATTTCCACCTCTGCACTTCCTGCTCCCTTCCTCTGCTTCCCCTTTGCTGCCAACTTCAGACAGACTGGCTCAAAGGAATTGCCTTTTCAAAGTTGTAGAAGTCTAAAGCCAAGAGAAAAGGCTCTTCCTCAGTGAGTTCACAGGGATCTAGAGACCAGGAAAGGGGACTTTGTGGATGAACCCATAACTCCCTCTTTCCCCAAGCTGCTAGAAGAACTATTGGTTAAGAGCACAGATGCTGCACTAGACCTCAAGGGTTCAAATCCAGTTTTGCCATATTCTAACTCTGAGACTTTCGATGAGTTAATTAACCTCTCTGTGTCTGTCTCCTAATCTGTAAGAAAGGAGGACAATAATATTAACAATCTCATAGGGTTGCTATGTGTAACAAATGAGTCAGCACATGCAAAACATGTAGCACCGTATCTGGCACAGAAAGAACACTGAAAGGATTCTCTGTTTTTATCTTCATACAGGCCACTGCCCATCCGTTATATCCCCTAACTTTTCACCATAAGGAACAATTCCTCTAGGCTGAGCATTGCTTTTTTTCTGGTATTAGGTGTTAGATTGCAAATATTGGTGACACACAAGGATTAGAAACATTTAATCTTGGTCTTGTGTTAGTATTTGTTTATGAAAGACACCATGAAAATAGAAGGTGGAGGAAATTGGAAGAGGTCAGAGAAGAACAAAAGAAGAGCAGAGTTTTGGGTGTGGTGGTCCATGAGTGCTGTCAAGTAGAGGCTTCTCTGAGGGCAGGGCATGGCTCTCTGCGCAGTCAGAGCCCAGGTGTAGACACACAGTTCACCCACCCCCTGGGTTGGGGAGGAGGACGGGGAATTGGGCACCCAGGGAGGCAAAGACCCACTTTGCCAAGTATCAGCTCCAGGGTAAAGTGATGATGCTTCTGGATGAAGCTCTGGTCTGAGTTCTGCTACGCGTTAACCAGATGATCTTGGCAAGTTGCTTTATGTTTCTGGACCTTGATAGTTCATTGTCCAGTTGGATATGACTCCTTTTCTACTTTCCTTTTGGGGTTATTTGCACAAGGAGTTGCTAGAGCAAGGTCTGCAATTTCCTTGGGGTATTGAGCAACAGAGACAAATGGTTAAAAACTAAAGCCTTAGATGACAAATCGAAAAGAGGGATATCTGGCCTTATACTGCCCCTTCCTCTGTCTCTGCTCTTAGCTGTGCAATTGTGCATGCTGTCTATCTCTCTCACTGATGCTCTCTCTCTCCTCTACCTCTCTCTCTCACTCTTTCTCATGCATTCTCTCTCTTTCTCATTCTCTCTGATTTTCTTTCCCCCTCATTTTCTCTCTCTCTTTTGCTCTCTCTCTCTCTCACACACACACACACTTACACACTCATCCATATCTTCACTTCCTTTTATTTTGCCTTCACCAAAGGTGCCAAGGTTGCTACAAAACAAAACAAAGCTCAGGGCAGTCTAGAGAGGCAGGGACCCCCTGGTGAGGTCTCCAAGTAAATGGTGTCCTTTGTGAATGTTGCGAAGCAATTGCCAAGACATAAAGCTTCAGGACATAAAAAAGTTGTAGACAAGAAAACTTTTGTAGACAAGAAACTGATGTGGGATTTTCTAGATGAGAAGAAAAGGGGCCTGGTGTCCAAGTGGCTGCCTCTCAAGTTCTGGGTTAGGGCCGGAATCCAGTCTCTGGACACACCATTCAGAATCTTTCACACCATGCCATTTCATACTATTTAATTTTCTTTTTTTTCTTTTCTTTTTTTTTAGACTGTGGGTGGAGGATTGGCTTAGATTTGACTACAACTTTCTATAACTTGCTAGAAAAGGTCCACCTTCTTGCACCCATGCAGGGTTTAAAATGGAGCCACACACCCATGAATCAAGGAAAATTCCTCCCTCAATTGTGATCTGAAGGCCTTGTCCAAGGCCCTGATCTCCTTCAGCTCCTTCTCCTTCACCAAGGGGCGGATGATTGACCCAGAAACCCTCCTGCACCTGTCACAAGGCAGCTCCAGCCCGTCATGGCCAATCCAAAGTAGCAGGTAATACACTCCAGGAAACAAGATGCTGGGGAGCAGATCTGGTTCCAGGGTGAACCTGGAGAAGGCTAAAAAAAGAGGTCAAATGGTTATATACTCACACAGATGTCTTATTTTCCTCCACCCCATTTTCTGCAAAAATTCCATGTCTCCACCATTGCGAGGAGTAGCTGAAAGAAAATGAAGAAGTTCTTATTGTTAGTTAGATTGTTAAAAGCTGAACAGAAGAGTCAGGGTGCTGGTCACTTCATCCCCTAAGGGAGCTCTGGAGCTTTCTGCTCTGTGGCTTCTGGCTTGCCCCTTATCCCCTTGAACTCCTGCCACATACTCTTTGCTCCCACCTCCTACAGCATCCCTTTTCTCAGAAGAATAGTGACCTTTAATGTATATCTCTAATTCTTCCCAGCAACAGGAAGAGAAGTCCAATTCTAAGGCTGCAGTGCGGTAAAGAGTCTTAGGTTTAACATTAACAGGACACTGGTCGGTTGATACCAGATGTCGGGGATCCGCAATCTGTGATCTTAAACTAGACTGAGAGAAATCTCCAAGTGTAATGTGAACTTTGCCTTTGTGCAGTAAATATGTTTGGAAGGAAATCTGCATTAGCTCATTATCTCCTCTCGCAGAGTGTCATTTGAAATGTTGCTGCTGTCTTGCAAAGTTTAGAAATTTGCAATGGTGACAGCTCCAATCACTAAGTTTTATGGACGTGACTTACTTTCCTATTCAATATATCCAAAACCTCCGTTGTAACTTTCCCCTGGAGAGCTCTGGGGTTCCTAGATGAAGAACACCATTGAAGGAAAGCTATCTAGTGTTAACCACTTAATGATATGGCCTGTACCACAAGAGTGGGGATTTGTGGTTGTATGTCCTAATGACTCTTATCATAGATGTTTGAACTTTTCCCATATTCTTGGGTACAAAACCATTCTCAGCAAATTTCTGAAGATGCTGTGAATACTCCTTGAGAGTATGTCTGAGAACTGCCCAAATTCACCACTGTAAGCTCTCCAAGACACTTTACTTAAAAAAATCGAGGTGTAATTTATATTCATTAAAATGCCCAGATCTCAAGTGTTCAGTTTGATGAATCTTGACAGTTATGTATGCCCATGTAAGTAGCACCCAAAAAATGTACTGGTCATTTCCTTCACTGCAGAAAGTTCTTTTCTGCCTGTTCTTAGTTAATTCCCTCCCCTACCCCCAATTTACCTGGTAAGCAACTACTCTCTGATTTTTATTCCAACAGAATTCTCATTTTATTCATATATATATATATATATATATATATTTTTTTTTTTTTTTTGAGTTGGAATCTTGCTTTGTCACCCAGGTTGGAGTGCAGTGGCACAATCTTGGCTCACTGCAACCTCCATCTCCTGGGTTCATGCAATTCTCTTGCCTCAGCCTCCCAAGTAGCTGGGATTACAGGCATGCACCACCACGCCTGGCTAATTTTTATATTTTTAGAAGAGACAGGGTTTCACCATATTGGTCAGGCTGGTCTTGAACTCCTGACCTCATGTAATCCACCCACCTCAGCCTCCCAAAGTGCTGGGATTACAGGCATCAGCCACCATGCCCGGCTCCTGTATTTTCTTAATTTATTCTTCTAAGATCTCCGTGGTTCTGGATATATATTTAAATATAAAATCATTCTGAACTGAATTTTTGTGCATGGAGTACAGAAGAATTGACCATTGATTGTCTCTATTGTTTGTTTATTTTTCTATTTCATGATTTTCTTTATTTTTATTATTAGCTTATATTTATTAACTTTGGGGTTGCTTTACTCTTTTTTTTCAGGGTTCTTATTATACAAGCATAGATAATTGACTTTAGTCCTTTGTTCATTTCCACTACAGGCATTTAAAGTTGTAAATTTCTCTCTAAGCACTATGTCAGCTGTGTCCAACATTTTGGTGCATGGGGTTATCATCATTCAGTTACTGATGTTTTGAATTTTTTCTTGTGAGTTTGTCTTTGACCCAAGTGACCCATACCAACAGAGTACGTTGCTTGTTTTCTAAAATTGGGAATTTTCTAGATATCTTATTTTTATGGATTTCTAATTTAATACTGTTGTGGCCATAGCATATACTCTGTATGATTTTGATCCTTGCATATATATTGAAACTTGATTTATGGTGCAGCATATGGTCTGTGTTGGTGAACATCCTGTAAACACTTGAAAATAATGCTTTCTACAGTTATTCGAAATAATATTCTACAAATGATTTGCTTTGAAACCCCACTCTAGGTCTTGCCCTCCTCCCATGTTGTAGACATTCAGCTGCTACTTGGGACCTGACTACCAATGGTTCAAACCCACTTGCCTAGAAAAGATTGGCCCTGTGCGGCAAGATGTAGCAGCTTGTTCTCTGATAGCAACAGCCCCCGGGTCTTGCTGAGACATGTGGAGCACTATCTGAACCATTCAGGCGCATCACACATGTTTGCCTGCTGTAGCACATGCGAGAGTGCACCTTATAGATCCCCCGTTGCCTTCGGTATGGGGCTGCACATTCCCTCAGCTGTTGAGAGTCCTGGAGGCTACAGATTTCAGCCAGTGTCTCTTGGAGTGTCTGAGTGGAACCAATAAATAAAAGCCCTAAAGAAAGTGAGAAATTAAACAAAGGGCAAGACTGAGGGGGGCCACACTACTAAATTTCTTTTGTTTTTAAACAGCTTTACTGAGGTATAATTGACATAACATTCGCTTATTTTAAGTGTGCAGTTAGATTATTTTCAGTAAAATTTTAGACTTGTGTGACCATCACCACGATCCTGTTTTGCAACATTTCTATCATTCCTAAGAAATCCCTCATGTTCATCAATCACCACCACTTTTTCCCAGTCCCCAGCTCCAGGCAACTCCTAATTGATTTTCTGACTCTACAGATTTGCCTTTTCTGGAGACCATATAAATGGAATAATGCAATATGTTGTCTTTTGTATCTGTCTTCTTTCATTTAGTTTAATATACTTTCATGGTTCATGTGTGTGGCAGCACAGATCAATATTTCATTCCTTTTAGGTGCCAAATCCTATTAAATTATATGGATAGCTCCCATTAGTTTATTCATTTATCAGTTGATAGATATTTGAGTGTTTCAACTTTATGGACTGTTATGGATAAATTTGCTAGGAATATTCACATTCATGTGTTGTGTGAACATAGGTTTTTTTCTTTTGGGCAAATAGCTAGGAGTGATAGTGCTAGGTCATATGGTAAATATATCTTCAACATTTTAAGATACTGCGAAACTGGTTTCCAACGTGGCTGCATGTCCCATCAACAATGCATGAGTATTTCAATTTTTCCAGATCATTGTTATTTCACTTCCTCCAGGTGTTACTGTCCTTTTTTATTATAGCACTCTAGTGGAGAAGAAGTGGTGTCTCGTTGTAGTTTTGATTTGCATTTCCCTGCTGACTGATGATGCTGATCATCTTTTCATGTACTTTGTTGACTCTTCCTACACATTTTTATGAAATGGTTATTCAAATATTTTGCCTATTTTAAAATTGGGTTATTTATCTTTTCATTCCTTAGTTGTAAGTGCATTTCATATTCTGGACATGAGTTCTTTATCAAATATATGATTTGAATTTTTTTTTCTCAGTCTATGGGTTATCTCTTCATTTTCTTATTGGTGGCTTTTAAATGCCAACATTTTTAGTTTTGATCCTGTTTCATTTTTCAACTACTTTTTAACCATGAAAAGTTGGGTTTTTGCCTAATTCAAGATCATGAATATGTTAATCTATGTTTTCTTCTAACAGGTGTATAGTTTAGCCCTTAAATTTAGGCCTATAATTTATTTTGAGGGAATTTTTGCCTATGTGTGAGTTAATGGCCTAAATTCATATGGCCAATTGATTTTAACAATAGTAAATTCAATAGGGAAAAAGACTGTCTTTTAAACAAGTGACACTGAGACAACTGAACTGTCCACATGCTCAGGGAATGTCAGCCTGCTATGTCAAGTGATGCCCACCCAAGTCACCACCTATTGGCATCAGAGTGTGTGAATAATTTCTCAATATGATAACTATGGGTTAAATAATATGCTGCAGCTCTCTGCTTCTCCCGTTCAACAGACAGCCACATCTTCTTGTGCAGCGCCAGCCACATCCCTGAGACACCATGGTAAAGGTGAAGGCCAGAGTCAATGGATTTGGCCCTATTGGGTGCCTGGTCACCAAGCCTACTTATAACTCTGGTAAAGTGGATATTGTCACCATCAATGACCCCTTCATTGAGCTCAACTACATGGTCTACATGTTCCATATGATTTCACCCATGGCAAATTCCATCGCACTGTAAAGGCTGAGAATGGGAAGGTTGTCATCAATGGAAATCCCACCACCATCTTCCTCAAGCTAAATCCCACCAAAATCAAATAAGGCAATGCTGGTACTAAGCACATTGTAGACTCCAGTGGCATCTTCACTACCATGGGGAAGTGTGTGGTTCATTTGCAGGGGACAGTTAAAAGGATCATCATCTCTGACCCCTCTGCTGACACCCCCATGTTTGTGATGGGTATGAACCATGAGAAATACGACAACAGCCTCAAGATCATCAGCAATGTTTCTTGTACCACCAACTGCTTAGCACCGCTGGCCAAGATCATTCATGACAAGTTTAATACAGTGAAGGGACTCATGACCACAGTCAGTGCTATGACTGAAAACTGTGGATGGCCCCTCTGTGAAACTGTAGCATGACAGCTGCAGGGCCCAAAGGAACATCATCCTTGCATCTACTGGCACTGTCAAGGCTGTGGGCAAGTATATCAATGAGCTGCATGGGAAGAGCACTGGCATGACATTCCAGGTCCCCACCACAAACATGTTGGTCATAAATCTGACCTGCCCTCAGGAAAAACATGCCAAATATGATAACATCAAGAAGGTGGTGAAGCAGCATCAGAAGGCCCCCATAAGGGCATCTTGTGTTACACTAAGAACGAGGTTGTCTCCTCCAGCTTAACCACTGACACCCACTCTTTCACCTTGGATCCTGGGACTGGCAATGCCCTCAATGACCACTTTGTTAAGCTCATTTTCTGATGTGAAAATGAGTTTGGCTACAGCAACAGGGTGGTTAACCTCATGGCTCACGTGGCCTCCAAGGAGTAAGACCTGTGGACCACCAGCCCCAGCGATGGCATGAGAGGAAAACAGAGGCCCTCAGCTGCTGGGGAGTCCCTGCCACACTCAGTCCCCCCCAACACTGAGAATCTCTCCTCCACACAGTTTAGTGCAGACCCCCTGAAGAGGGAGGTGCCTAGGGAACCCCACCTTGTCATGTGCCACCAATAAAGTCCCCTGTCTGTACTCAGAAAAAAAAAATGCAATATTAGGAAGACTCACAAAGATTACTGATCACCAAAAGAATAGACAGCATGATTTCTCCATCCTCCTATTTTATACTGATGCATAAATGGTCAGGAAATGCTGGGCTTACAATGGGAGTCTGCATTCCAGTGTGGGAACAATAGTCTCCCTTGTTATAATTTTTTATCACGTAAGCACAAGACACAGCTTTATCAATGGGGGAACACACAGGCTGTTGGTGTGAAACATTCTAGACTTAGGTGTCAGCTGTTCACAAGATTGTCTGGAAAAATCAACTGCCCGGCATCTAGAGTCCTTGGGGTTCACGCAAAGCGTTTACCTTTTCTTAGGGGAGAAAGCCACCCATTTTACAGGGATCTATACTAAGCACAGTCTCTCATGCTGGGAAAAGGAAAATCCCTCTTTTTGGCCGGCTTACTAAACTCCTGGTTTACTTTAGGATAATTACACCCCTTGTGCTTGAGTCCCAGAGAGGTCATGAGAAGCATAGAATAAGTTTCAAAGGCACAGGACTAGATGAAATAAGTTAGGGTAAGAATATTCATGTATAACAGGGGAAGTTTCTGGACTGAATCCTGGAATACACATATCAACATTTGGAAGTTGAACAGAGAAGGAGGGGCCAGCTAAATATGCTGAGTAGGAGTTGGTGGCAGCAAGGAGAAAAATTAGGAGGACATGGCCTTGTGAAAGTCAAGTGAAGAAAGTGTTTCAAGAAAAGTTTGGTTCACTATGTTGTGTGCTGCTGTCACATCAAATGCAATAGGAAAATAAACGATTATTGATTTTGGCAACATTGTAAGTAATTTGTTTAGAGCAATTTCCACAAATAGTTGGGTTGGAAGTTCAACTGGAAAGTCCAACACACAATTCATTTGTGTGTTGAGGAAGAGAAGAAAAATGTGGAAAGAGTGACTCGTAAAAACACCTGTTCAAGAAGTTGTACCATGAAGATCTCAGTAAAAAGGTGTTACAGCCAGTGGAGTGAAGAGTTTGTTCTTGTTGTGTTGTCTTAAACTGTACTACTCCTTTACTGATCCTTAGCACCTTGTACAGAGCAATGTTCAAACATTGTTGAGTGTTTGACGAAATAAAGTGTCTATGTCTCATACATATTTTTATTACCATAAACATTTGCACAACATCTGACATATCATAGGAACTTAATACATGTTTATTTAATAAACGAATGGAAAGATGAGTGAAAAAATCAAGACTCTAGAATGTCTTAGTGCTTTTGAAACTTAGTGCTTATGGACTAATACATAGAAGGAAATAGAAGAGAACAGTGACCACAAAAATGAAAATACTGGAAAGTTTCCCATACTAATGAGAGGCTGAAATCATTGCCCAGGCCAAAGCTGTTTGCCAAGGAGATGCAATTTTATTCCTATCAATAGCACAGATATGAGTAGGATCCCAGGTATTTGAAGTGTACTTAAAGAACCAGTTTCCAGAAGTAAGGAACAATGGGCCATCCCCTCCACCATACAGGGAGAACTAGGGCCAGAAGTTTTGGGTTATATGAGCTCAACTTGGCTGTCTTTCTAGGCAAGACCTTCAGAATGAGAAAGGAGAAAGCTTTAGCAAAATGTCTTTTTTAATTCTTCCTGAATTCTCTGTTTGTCAGTTGTTTTTGGGGGGAGGTCACATAGATGTCACTCAACCATTTCCTCTGGAGTCTGACTATGATGGTATGGTAGCCAGCCTCTAAGGTGAGTCCAGTGATCTCTGCTTCCTGGTATTCATTCCCTTGTGTGTGGGCTGAACCTAGTAACTTGCTTTTAATCAGTATAATGGGACAAAAATGATGGAATGTTACTTCCATGATTAGGTTAGAAAAGGTAGTGATTTGCATCTTGTTTTATACTTTCTCTTTCTCATTGGGCTGGATGAAGCAAGCTGCCATGCTGGACAGGACAATACAGTATTGAACTGAGGGTAGCCAACAGTCAAAGGGGAACTGAGGTTCCCAGTCCAATAAGCTTCGAGGAAGTGAATTTTCCAATACCTATGTAAGTGAGCTTGAAAGTAGATATTTCCCCAGTTGAGTCTTCAGATGAAACTGGAACTTTGTGCCAATCAAGTCAAGAGCTCTTGGAACTCCAATGTTTAAGAAGAAAAAAGGTAGACTGACATACTTTTAACAAGCTGCTTTCTTTTCTTGGGGATTTCTCTTGCATTACGAAGAACATTATCCCTTCATTAAACTCAGTTTGAGAACCACAAGTGGTTTAGCAAATATTAGATTCACTGAAGTTACTAAGTGTTGGTGAAGATGTGGGGAGACAGGTGTGTTATTTGTGGAATTGTAAGTTTATGCAAATTTTTGGTGAGTATCTGACAAAATATTTTAAACTTTCACACACTTGACCCCTACAAGTCTACTCCAGATATTTATTTTATGGAATAATCAGTTGAGATCAGACCAAGAGGTCATATGGGACATCTCCTTGCACATAGAAAGCTCTACATATGAGCTCTAATATATTAATTGAGTCCCTTACTGTGTATCAGGTGCTTTACATATATTATCTCATTTAGTTTTTAAAATGGACTTTATTTTCTATTATAGTTTTAGCTTCACAAGAAAATTGAGGGAAAGTGCAGAGAGTTCTCATATACTCCCACTCCCACATATACACAGACTTCCCCACTGTCACCATCCTACGCCACATGGTGCATTTATTACAATCATTGATCTGCATTGACACATCTTCATCACTCAAAGTCCACAGTTTATTCTTGGTCTCACACATTCTTAGTTTTGACCAATGTATTCTGATATATAACCACCATTTTAGTGTCATCTGCCCTAAAAATCTTCTGCTTCTGTCTATTAATCCCTCTGTGCACCTTGACTCTGACAGCTATTGATCTTTTTACTGTCTCCAAGGTTTTGCCTTTTCCAGAATGTCATATACTTGGAATCACACTGTATGTAGCCTGTTAATGTTGACTTCTTGCATTTAGTAATATACATTTAAGTTTCCTCCATGTCTTTTGATGGCTTGATAGCACTTTTTTTCTTTTAGCACTGAATAATATTTCATTATCCATTGAGCTATTGAAGGACAAATTGGCTGCTTCCAGGTTTTGATAATCATGAATAAAACTGCTATAAAGATCTAACCTAGAAATAGGTTTTTGTGTGGACATAAGTTTCCAATTTATTTGTGTAAATACAATGAAGCATGATTGCTGGATTATATGGTAAGAATATGTTTAGTTTTATAAGAAACTGTCAAACTGCCTTACAAAGTGCCTGTACCATTTTGCATCCCCACCAACAGCGGATGAGCATTCCTGATGCTCCACATTCTTGCTAGCATTAGTTGTTGTCAGTGTTGAGGATTTTCACCATTCTAATGGGTGTGCAGTGGTATCTCATTTTTGTTTTAGGTTGCAATTTTCTAATGACATATGATGTTCAGTATCTTTTCATATGCTTTCTTGTAATTTGTATATCTTCTTTGGTGGGTGTCTGTTCATGTCTGTTGCCTATCTTTGCATCAGATTGCATTCCAAATGTAAGACATTTTTAGGAGGTAAGAGATTCCTTCTGAGATTTCCTATGCATCTCTTCAGTTTACTGTGGACATTCCTTTTCACACATTTCTAAGCAATGGAAAACAGTCTTTTGGTATTATCTTGATAAGATTCCTGCTCATTTCCCTTGGAATTTTTGATGTAGACCTCTAAGCCAGATGCAACTTAAAAAATTACACACATTTGTGTCCAGGAGCACAGTAATCACCAGATAGATGTATAAAAAGATAGCTTCTACTACATTTTCTTGTAAAGTAAGATAATATCATTGTCTGTATACCACATTGCTTTAATACCATATACTCATGTGATTTGTTTTACTCTTACCCCAAACCAATCTCTATTGACTCCCACAAGTCTTCAGCTGGTGATTTCAGGATTGAAGAGGTGACCTTAAGCTGGCCACTATGCTTGCATTGAAGTGCCTGTAATAAAGGCACCTTTGGGAAATTTTGCAACTTGACCACTAACCAGCATAAAAGCATGAAAAAAAATTGATTTAGAAGACTGTGATTGGGTGTTTGGATCTTATGTTTTCTCTGATTTCAAGTTTTGTATTCAAGGATTTATTTATTTATTTACTTATCCACAAAGAACAATTTAGCACTAAAATGTTCTTATCTTTTTCTGATGTGAAGAGAATCATGAGACTATAGTTATAAACTTAACACAAATAGAAGGGGGCTGAGAAAGGTGGTATCTACAAAACAGTTCTGCGATCTAGAAGTGAAATTCCAGAGAGTACGCTTCAAGTAAGTATACCAAGCCCCACTGTCCATGAGGCTGACTCTTGATGGATGACAGGGGTATTAGGGTTGGGGAACAGACCAGAGGAGAGCAAAGTCTGCCTAGAATTGGTCATTTGCTGTGGGACGTGGCTGGTGGGACAGCTCTCTCATGAGTCTGCCCATTGTCTGAGGCCATGTTCTTGGAGACTCCTGGGTAAGAGATTTCTTAGACATTAATCACTGTCATATTGAGAAAGTTTCCATGTATCCACTAAAACTACCCAATATGACCAAAATAAAGATATCTCCTTTCTCATGTACTGGTGAAGAACTGGGCTAGTCAATATTAATTTGTTTCCAGGGTCCCTGAAATTCTTATCTGAAAACTCTCTTTCTGCTACTTTTCTTGGAGGTCGGTGAATTGCACAGAATAGACATTAGTCCAAGTGCCATAAAATCCTGTAACATCCTAGGTCATGACAATGAATATTTTAGGCTTTCCTTTGCTCCCCTGTTCTTTCTTGTCTCTGGTTTTTGCTGTGTGACTCAAAGTAAAAAATATTCCCAAAGTCCCTTGCAGCAGTGCATGAGTTAGGCTATACCAAATTCACCTTTGTCCCATATTCCTTCTTGATCTTGTGAAATTGTATGGTCTGATTGTGTTCCTTCCAAATTCATATGTTGAAACTTAATTGCCAATGTGATAGTGTTTAGAGTTGGGGCCTTTAGGAAGCGATTAGCATATGAGGACAGGGCCCTCATGAATGGGATTAGTGACCTCATAAAAGGGCTTGAGGAAACTAGCTGACCCCTTCCATTCTTCTGCCACATGAGGACACAGACAATGCAGCAACAAGATGCTGTCTTGGAAGGAGACACTGGGCTCCCACCAGACATGAAACTCATAGACACATTGATCATGTATTTCCCGGCATCTGGAACATAAGAAATAGGTTTCTGTTATTTGTACATTTTCTAATCCGATATATTTTGTTATACTAGCACAAATAGACTAAATCATGAAGCTTCCATTTTTTACAAGTCACTCAAATTAGGGTGTTGAAATTAATCTTCAAGGCTGATGGTCATCTAGGCATCCTGTTCCACAATGCAGCTGTGACTGCTGTGTCAGCCAGACAGTCACCCCTAGACATGTGTTTTCTTAGTATTTCCCTAAACTTTCAGCACAAGCACTCCATCCTGGTTGCCAGATTAAAGACCCCTCCTTGGCCACAAATTATCAGCCCACCAGTGCAGCAGCCAATTTGACACCTAAATAAAAAGTTAAGGCCTAACTCTGGGAGCATGGTCAATTTCCCTTTTCTTTTTACCAACCCAATAAAAATTTTATCCAGTTTAACCTTCTGCACTTCTTTTCAATGACCATGATTCTCCAAAATATCCACTACTCTTCCAAGTATTCTAATGACACCTGCTTTTTTCCCTTTCAACTGATTTAACTTTACTGCACTGTTTCATAGATAGAGAGTATGATTTCTGTTGGGAAATTTTTATAGGTATAGCTCTTCTGTCCAGAGTGCAAAGTTCCATAGTTTTGCGCAGTATGTGCAAAACATTATAATCCACTGGCTGTGTCAGTCATTACTGATCTGCCCTATTAAGATCTTTTGTTCTGAGAAGAATCAATGGGAATTCTTTGAGTCACACACTTAACGAACTATTTTTTTGTAAAGGGACTGCTGTTTTGAAAGTTTGGCTGTTCACTTGTTTTAAATTTTGGGATCTGAATTGCAGTTATAGACAAGCAGAGCTATATGACCATACTTCATTTTCCCTTTCTAAATATGTGGGTGGTGAAGGCACTCTATGTATATTTGGATTAAGCAAATAGGCCTTCGAAGTTATTACCAGGGAGACTGCTATGGGACTGCTTTCTCTTTTGGCATTTTCCATGCAAATGTTTCCTTGACCCAGCTCTTGGCTCTGTGGG